CTGGATGACACCTCAACCCCAAGGGGTCAGCTCTCAACCTATGCAAATAAGGGCAACACTAATTTGACTTGGCAGAATATATAGATACACATATAAACATATATATATCACAAAAAGAAGTATAGCAGAAATCATGAATTTGAGAGGGAGTGGTTGGAGCAGACATAGGAGGAACTGAAGGAGGGAAAAGGGGGTGGAAAGGATACAGATAGAGTCACTCATGTATGAAATCCTCAAACAAAATAAATGAAGGAAAAACAAAAACTTCTTCAGCATGAAATGAAGCATTCATCTTTTGTTCTCAGATTGTTTTATTACTGTTAGTATTGTCAGTAACCACAATAAAAATATTCGATATTTACTTGGCACTTTTGAAGTATTCACTTTTTTCTTCCAAGTACTATAATACATGAGGCATTTAAAATTACCTAGACTCCTCATAGCCAATTTTATCAGGCAGATATTGAAGGGCACTGGGTTAAGACCCAACCAGGTAGGTGATAAAGCCAGATTTCCACCTTGGTTTGTCTGACTCCAAACCCATTTGCTCTTTGTTACTCTAAGAAGCCACACATTGGAAATTGGTTCATGTAAGAGTTAACCAACTTGTTTCTATGTGTACCTGTGACATTTTGCTAAGTTTTCAGCTATCCAGATAGCAGCTAGTAAATTAAAACTTTCACCAAGGACTAAGGATATAATTCTGCAGTAAAAGTACTTGTCTATTATGAAAGAGGCCGTGTTTTATCCCTAATACTGAGAAAAACAATTCTTTAAATCTCTGGATACCAATACATATTTATTTATTTATTTAATTTTTTTTAATTAGAAGAAGGATTTCATTACAACAGCACTGACATATTCAATAACAATTTCCAGAGCTAAGATGCATCTCTTTCAAAGTTGGCTGTAAATTTTTAGGTTCACAGTTGAATTAATACAGTTATACAATATTGTACTCAGTATAAACCCTATATGACATAAAATTAAATGAAGTTTTAACCTTTAAAAAAGCTCTCCATTTCATTATTAAAATACAGTTTTATACAGAAAAATTTATTTTCAATGCAATTGACATTAAGATGTTTGCACATGCATTTCTAATCTCTATATATCTGATTATTACTAGTGACAGTCTGTTATTTTCTGAGCTCCTCGGCATCTGAGCATGGATATAAAGTCATCAGGTAGATTTCAATGGTAATGCTTTTCACATCTACTAATTATTATGATGTAAATTTTATGCTTTTTCCTCAAATATAATTCATCTTTTAAAATTTGTTGATTTTTTTTGTGTATCTCACACAGAACATCCCAAACCATCTTATTCATCTATACACCCACTTCCCAGATGGCACCCTCCCATAGCCTACCTCCCTCCACTAGAGCCCTTATACTCTGTCATCCCTGCTACTGTCCACTGTGTTGTTGGCACCTCTAGCTGTTCCCCACTACTTGTCCATCCGGTGAATCTATTCAGCCTATCTAGAGGTCTTTATTTTAGGAAGGTCAGCTGTTCCTCATCTAGCAGCAATCAGTTGTCAATATTCCTTCAGAAAAGATTGGGGTCTGCTGTTCATTTTCCCAGTTCTATGTTGGGTTACTGTCTGGGAGTCTCTTTG